ATTAACAAGAATATTCCACTCTGTCCTCCTACCCTACCTTTTTCCCTCTTTTAATTTGCGTCTAGGATACGTACACAGAATGAGTAACAACAGATGTGAAGATTGGAGAGAAGTGAAGTTAAAGAAGAAACTCTGTTACTCGATTCGAGCGTCAAGAATAGCCTGAAAATGGTAACACAGCTAATGGTCGGATCGAACGTCGATGGTATAATCAAGGGGATGCATTTGCCCAGGCTGACGGCATTCGTCGCGGCTTTACCGCGCCCTTCCGGTCGTATCGAGCCGCAAGGCCGTCGCGGTGCTAACACCGAAGAGAGTCTCTATTCTCTCCACTCGCGTCCTCGATTATTCGACGATAAGGGAGCGTAGATAACCCTTATCTGCGCTCGTAGAGAGGCAAAGGCTAGCAGGAGGAGAAATAAAGCTGGCGATTCCCTCGTAAATTCACGAAATCCGGAGTGACGCGGCGAGATCGGCTGCGGAGGAGAAGGAGCTCGTTAAATTTAACAGTGCCAGCGGACGCATTAATGGGCCGCCATAAAATCGGGCTTCATAGAAGCGAAGATATTCGCGCGCGACGCAACTTGACACCTTATTTTTGTCGATGCCGGACAACCGGGAGAAATGTTCGCCAATCTTCCAAACTTGAACTCGACTGAGGAAGCTTTCGTACGATCTTGATACGTACCTCCGTCGATGAGCAAGGGAGAATTTTTCGTCGAACCTTTGCAAGAATTATCCCCCGAGGGTGTCGTAGGAAGAACGTTCTCCGTAATGTCACGTCCATAATGTCAGGGAAGAGAAGCCTGGTCACCTTGTTTGCTCGGTAGACCATAACTCCTGGCCTGCAAAGAGCTTTCAAGCGATAAAGAGTTCTCAGCGGCCTGAAACTACTCGTTTCCTCGGCTTTTCGTTGCCTTGTTAAGGACGGCGGTGGGGGATACGCGATAACGTTGAATCTCGAGTTGTGCCAGGTACTGTGGACATCACGATGCGAGAACTCCTGGCGCAGGGGAGGGTGGGCGCAAATTAACGCTGACGCCTCGTTAACTCCGCGAACGTGAAACGTAATACCTTCGCGTGGATCGTAATTCATTTCAATTCACGGTCCCGATTCGCCAGCGACACGCTCGTTTTCCCTTCCTCGTGCGCGCAATTCTACCTGTTGACGACGAATCTGTCTTATCTCACCGGCTACGATAAAACTGCTATTATTTTTGGATAAAGAACGCCGTTCCACTTTTTATTTCCGTAGAAATAAGTGGATTAGTCATTGGTTATGGCCGATGTACCGTATGTGCGGAGTGAGTCACGTAATTGCCACGAGTACGCGTAAAACGCGTTCAGGTAGAATACTGGAAAAATGACAAGGCACTTAAAGGAAACGCACGTTCTCTAAATTGCAATCATCCCTTAACTCCCGATCGGCATCGTTCTACCAATGAAATCTCCTCCCCAGAAAGGATCGCGGTAACTCGCCGTAAAGCTGCGCCATAATCGACCGTTCCGTATCCAGAGACCGGTCGAAAGTGTCTCGTAAAACGGCAGGGAAAAATTTCGCCGAATAATTTACGAGGTCCCACACGCGTCACGCGGCGACTATTTGCGTCCTTTGCCCCCGAGCACGCCGCGCAATTAATTCCCCGGACGATATATAAACCGAGCGATTTGTCCTGACATTCCACGATGGGTGGTACACGCGTAACGCTTGTAAGCGGCGCCGTTCGAGCGGAATCCGGGAAAAACGTAAAACTGGAGCCGGCCCAGACTGATATTAATGCCACGAGGAGCCGCCGCGAGAAAAGAAACACGGCGGAAAAGCGTGTGTGTGTCCTCGAATCTCGTCGCCGGGCCTCGCTTTATAATCGCCGGCTATTCGAACACGATCTGGTTCGCGTGCAACTTCTCTCGAGTAAACACCTTGCCTTCGGATTGCACGCTTGGTTTACCTGAGAACGACCTATCACCTGCGCGATCCCACGTGTCTGCCACGTCTCAGAAATTTTGTTCTTTCTAGAAGAGGGAGGAAGTTAGAAGGGATGCGGGGATGTTAAAGTGGTTCTAAATCGTAGCTCGGTTCGGCAGAACCACGATCAGCGCGTTCTAACCCCTGAGAAGAAAATCCAGGCCCGATAGAAGGGAACAGGTTTACCGATCATCCAGTCTCAAGGAGGAAACTTGTTTCCAGAAAGCGACTCAACTGGTCAATTACCTAACTATCAGCTCGAACAGCTCGAACTGGTCGAACACCTTACAGTACAGGTGCAACACCCTGACGCAGGCCCACTTCATGCCTGGCCAGGGCGCCAGGCTCAGATCCAGCCCATCCTCTAAGGGACATTTGCCGATGGCGAGGCTCCTCTTCAGTTCCGCGCCGGAGATCGTTGGAAATCGATTCTTCCTATCTAACATGGGGTTTCTTCTGCCCCGAGGCGTGTCCACGCAGCCAGGAATCAATCCTCGCTTGATCTCGGCGCCGGACAACGTCGGATATCTGTCTCGACGGTCCAGCGACGAGGTCTTCCGGTAGAAGTCCTTCTCGGGAACGGACGGACACCTGGCGCGCATCGCTTCTTGAAGAGGAGGGCTCATAGGCCGTTTCTTCGGCTCCGGGATCTTCACTCTGATCCCCTGAGGTTGGCCGCCAGGCGAGGCCACGCAGGACACCCTCACCTCCATCTTCGCGCCGTCCTGGCTGGGTCCTTTCGGACTCATCCTGGCGCCAGGGTTCGAGAGAAGCGTAGGCGTCGTATGACGCCTCTGTAGTTTGTCGTTCAGGATGAGTCCTTTGACTTTCTACCTTCGATCCTCATCGCACGTCTTTCGGTGAATTACAGGTCTTCGACAGGCGTCTAAGAGAGCCTCCACTTTCTCGAGACGCAGGTGCACTTGCGAGGTGTCTCGAAGCCCGAGTCATGGAAACATCGTCGTTCTGCGAGCGCGACGATCCCTTTTTTGACGAACAGTTTCTGGAAAATCACGCACGTGGAGATACTTTGACCGAGTTAACAGAACGATGGAAAGTGGCCAGGACGATCGAACGTTCGTTCTCTCTCTCTCTCTACCCCTTCACGAGAAGCTCTGTATAATTTAGACACCGGGGAAGGGAAGAAAAACGACGGAGAAAAACAGTGTATGGGTGGGTAGGTTTGTAGCAAGATCGTGAAATGAATGGTGCTCGGGGGAAAATCACGAGGCGAGTTTATAATTCGGCCTGAATGGAGGTCGATGGTTTGTTTTATCGTCGATGTACGGTCGGCTGTCTCCGGAAAAATTATTACGCAGAGACGCGAACGGATAGGCCATGGCTACGGTGCACGGCGCGTACGCACGCCTGGTTGGATTTATTTTCATTGCGGAAATCGCCACGGTTCACCAAGTCACGCGGTTATTTATAGGGAGGATCATCCTCGGGGTGGCTGCGTGCCACTCTAGCGAGAAAAAGGCCGCGGGGGAAGTGACATTGTCCTTACACCGTGAACGAGTGCCATTTATCTTTGATATTTCCAGATCTAAATCGAGGGGGAAGCTGAAATTTCAATTTTTCCTCTTTTGACAAAAATGCCTAGCAAGAACCGACAGGTCCTCCTCGAGGATTGTCAGAGCAACGACATGCTTATCCGCAAGGTCAGCCGCCGGTGTTACATGTCGGGTTAATACAAACAGCGATAATCTCACGGTGAGTAGAGTTTTCGGTGCGGCTTTTCTGCGGCCGTGGTAAGCTAATAAAATCGGAGTGCTGTACGTTGTCGTGGCGGGA